TAATTATTAAAATTAATTGAAAATTAATAGAAATCAAAAATAATTATTACAGTTGTATATTTAAAATATTCATCAGAAAAACTCTTCCATGCAAAATTTCAGAAATAATCTAAAATAGGAAAATGAGATGATCTATCAAATGTGGATAGGAATATATATTAAAAAATATCAAAAACATGCATTTGGCCATCTGTTTAACAGTTTCCATAATGGGCTGAGTCTTATGGAAACTGATGGACAGCTGAATAGGACAACCGACAGACGGACGGACATGGCTTGGTGCTAATGCAGAACATATAAATATCTTAAGCTGCTTCTCCACTTGCTGCTGATATTTGCATGAACATCAATTTCCATTTATAAGGACTTCAGATCTGCATAGATAATGAATAAATAATAGAGCACCATACTTGACTTTGCTTTCAATTTATATAAACTATTAACAATTGTTTCACTAAATTCGCATGGTACAGCCCCAAATCCACATATTTACCCACATATTTAGTAAATTCACAAAACCCTGAGGTGATTTCATGAACTGCAACAGAGTTGGAAGGAAAACCTATGCCAAATCAAATTGCAAACTCAACAAATGCATTTCATGCATATTGCATTTAGCGCTTGATTGATTGGCTGGCCTGGGCGAGGGGTGGCGAGGGGTGGCGAGGGGGTAGGGGCATCAAATAGTTATACGACTATATAATGAAGTGCGACCGACAAGTAAACTCTTCATGCAATTTGTAGTGCTCGCTCATACATACATACATACACGCACACTCACACACTCACACACACACTTGTGTGTAAATAGTTTGCACAGATTTTGGCAACAAAATAAATTGCAATAATTATGCTGGAAACGGTTGAGTCGAGCACTTGCCACACTTGCAACATGCCCCACGGCTCGCGCGGAGAGCGCAACTAACTATCGAAAACAGCACAAATAAATACAATGTAATTACTGAGGTATACAATGAACTGTTTCGCACGCACACACACACATACGTATAGAGCATATTGAAAATCTATTTGCTAAGCCGTGAATCACAAAATGCACGACCTATGCAAATATCAAACAATTTCCCAGCTTCGAGCTACAATCGACAACAGTTGAAAGCCTTTGGGTATACGCAACTTGGGATGATGCATGTGACACTGGAAAAAAAAGAGGGATAGTTCGTTCATTTACGGTATTTTCATATAGATGAAATTGAGCGAGAGTTCGATTTGGTTTAACAGATTTGGTTTTACGACAAAAAATATATGATATACATGATATGATATACATATGTCTGTGCCTTCGTATTTTTGCTTATGACTAATTTTAAGCCAAACGATTATAGCCCCTTGTCAAGAAGTCCGATTTTTCAGGCTTGAAAATTAGACTTTATGCCAAAAAAATCGGTATTTTTGACTTGGGATACTAATTAAGATATGTTATGCAGTCGAGTCTCTATAATTTATACCCCTAAAAATTGAAAATCGCGATAAATCGAACAAAATAAATAATAACAATAATATTCCGTTGAAAGAAATTCGTTCTCAATAATGCTCGATAATTTGAACTTCATTGTAATAAAAAAAAAAAAAAAAAAAAAAAAAAAAAAAAAAAAAAAAAAAAATGGGTCCTTTGCCATTTCGAATTATTGGGATTCTATTGTACAATCCTTCAAAGCAATATAAATATTGTAAAGCTGAATAAAATGTTAACTATAGAAATAAATACCATTATAATGTTTGAAATTGATATATAAATATTTATTTTTATGTTAAATGTTAGAAAATTACATAAATAATACATTGCCAAGTAAAATATTCTGTTCCTTACTCTACAGCAATGACAGGTAAGATTTATGCTCTTCAACTATTCTGAAAAACTTTTCTTTGTGAACAGTACAAATTTTCCAGCTGGAATGCCTAAATTTCACACTCTTAATTAATTTACCCTTAATTTATAATATTCAAAAAGATAATACTATTAATATAATGACATACTATCCCTCCATGGAAAGTGTATTGCAAATCAGCTTCGATCCGAGCAACTAATTCGCTCATCGCTCATCTCAAACGCACAGAGCAATTATTGTTTGTGTAAATATTTAAGCAGTTTATTAAACAAAATCGTTGCCGACTTTTGTGCAAATTGTTGCTATGCACACACATGCACACACGCACACATGCATATATGTATCCATGCTTTAGGCTGGCCAATTTACAATTTGCCAACTAAAATTTGCATATGGGAAAAAGGCTTTTTCGATATTAACCAAATATGTTGCAGATTTTCAGCGAATGGCGTTAATTTATTTGTTTAACGCATTTGCGATGGCGTCCAGCAACTGAATGCGAGCATATTGTTTGCTGTTTCAGTGTTGCCCCTTGCTCTGCCAGAGCCGGCCCCCCTCTGCGCACATACACCTGTCATTTGCCACATCCGCTTCGTTTCGCTCTCATGCGAGCTGTAAATATTATTATTAACATTTGCTCATTTTTGGTTTCTCTTTTTCGCAGTTTTTGTTTTGCCGTTTCGTGTTTTGTTTTCTTTAGCTTTTGTTGCGGCTACCTGAAAGCTGAAAGCTGTCAGCCGCATGACGACAAATTTATAGCCCCAAAAATTGTAATTAGAAAATCGACCAAATTTTGCAAGCCAAAAAAGAGAAACGAAAAAATGTGTGTGTGTGTGTGTGTGTGTGTTTATGTGCGTATTCAGCTGTGGGCCAAATTATAAAATTGTTTGTTGATTTTCGGTCAAAAGTCACATCATGTCAGCCACGCTGCTGACAGCCCAATCTCTCGCCATCTGCATATATCATTTATAGAAATACATACATATGTATATAAATTCACCAAATATTTGAAAGAGCTATTTGTTTTTTTGAATTGTTAATGTCAGGCGACAGTCGAAACTCGAAATAAAATAAAACAAATATACTTATTTTATAAAAAATTGCATTTCACTCATAAATATTTCGTTTGCGTTGACAAATTTGCTGTCAGCCGGCATTTGATACGTTTCATTTACATTTCGAATGCGAAAACTTTCCAGCTCGATGCGAACTTTATTGGAATTTCAAATTGCACAACATTTTCATTATAGTTATATTTAATCAGAAAATAACAAAGAAGATAATTCATAATCTTAATTCAATCTTAACGGATATAACGGAGTATAATTAATCTCGTATACTTTTTTTTTTTTTTTTTTTTTTTTTTTTTTT